CACCAACCAGCCCCGCGACGAGGGCTACCACATCCAGTTGGGGGCGGGGACACCTCCGAAGGCCGCAACACACACACACATACACACACACACACACACACACACACACACACACACACACACACACACGCGCGCCAATATCAGGAAATTCGGGAAGCATCACTGGAAAGTCGAGACCCGCGCCCTACCAACGCCACCACTATCCAAGGGGATTTCGGCAGAGGAGGAGCGTGGGTCGCCACAGGAGTTCATCTGAGCTCGCGAGCCATCAGGCTCCAGCGCAGCGAGTGGTACAGCCTGCCTCGGGACACGGCATGCGGGCCGCAAGCGAGGTGCGCCTGCGCAGCACCGCCGTCCTCTCTCTGGTCCGCCTACTACGCTTTCGGGGAGGGCCTTTTCGGGGGCAACATGCAGATGTTGGAAGAAGTCGTTTGCAAAATCCAGGCTTGATAGTGCCCTTCATTCCCATGGCTGGCTGGAACCTGGAAGTTTCGGAAATCCGTCAATCAGGGATAGAAGACCACCTGGGCGCTCGGATCGTTTTCCCAGAAGGGGCCACCAGGGAGTCTGAGAAGAGGGTGATTGACTTCGGGCTCATCTCCTCCCACCTCGTCCCTGACCTCGCCCTCCAGCGCGACCTATGGGCGCATTCATACCTAGGGATCAAGTGCCGCCTCTCAGGAGCTGCATGTGGAAAGTGCCCGCCCTCTGCAGACCCTCGAGGAGCAGAGTACTTCGTCGCCCAGCCCTGCGCAGATCCCACGCTAAGGGCCAGGTGCAGCATTTTCGCCGGTGCCGCCGGGGACCCGCACGCCTCGCGAAGTGGGGGCCTGCGAGGCGCGCGCCGACGAGGGTCGGCGCCGACGCTGGCTACTAAGAAGGCAGTGTCACCACCACTGCTCGGGTGACAAAGTGGGGGTTCATATAAGCTCGTTTTCCAGGGGAACTGCGTCGCCAGGATCCAGGACCACCCTGGGCTCAGGATCGGGAAGAGCAGTCCTGCGAGGGACTCCAAGCGCCAGGAAATGGAAAGACATCTCAGGGATACGCTCAGCAACATCTCCGAGTGCAACCACCCCGAGGCCCCCCAGGAGAACCCAGAGAAAATGCCCCAGAAGACTCAGGACATACAGACCAAGGCCCAGGAGTTGGCCACCTGCGACCAGGACACCCCGAAGGCCTTTTAGATGGCCAACGGGGAGCTCCGCGATCAAGCTGATCGAGAAGCTGACGAATAAGCTGGCTTCCAGGAGTGGCTAACCCAGAGCCTCCGAGGGGGGGCGACATGAGCCCACTGGCGCACAGAAGAATGGGGACACCCACGAGCCGCACCGGCGCAGGAAACTGAAGACTCAGGAGGTCCACGATGGGACCCCTCGGAGGAGCCGCCGGCAGTGAAAAGGGCCCGCTGGAGCCCCCTCTGGTCGGACCCCGACGGATTAGGACACCCGACATCGCAGGAGTGGTGGCCACAGTTAGTTTCGCGCAGACGCCCAAGCCGCCGCGCCTGACCTCCCGCCATTTTCGAAGGCAGATTTTGCTGCCGCGTGCAAGGCTTTCCCGGCCACCACGGGCATTGGGGGCCGACCACTGGAATCCGCTGCTCTGGGGGGGCCTGACAGATGAAGCGCGCTGCGAGCTCGAGGCCCCCCTGCGCGACGCAGAGAGCAGGCGCGCCTGGCCCGAGCAACTTCCCACGCATCCCGAACCCGCAAAGGAGGGGGGCCGACCTATCATCGAGGCCCAGCGGCTGCACCGCACGGGGCCCCGACCTCGGAAAGAACCAGTCGTCCAGTGGGAGAAATCTAAAGCAGGGTTCTGGGATGCAGCGGCACGAGGGTCCGATCTGCCGAGGGGCGCCCTCCGTAGGATCGCCAAGGCGGAGGCAGCCGCGCGGTTTTCGATCGACTGGGCGACCCCCCTCTTAGATGCAGAGAAGTTGCCCGGCGCGCCGAGCCCTTTCTGAATCGACGCGCTAGGCGAGGGGCAGGGTCATCCTATTCGCGCCATGTACATGGGCACGCGCGCGCGCCGCTGATCGGGCCCTCGCAGTGGGCCCACAGGCGTCGAACTACATCAGCGCGCAGCGATCGATCCTCCACGGGCGCACGCAGCGCGTCGCGTGGACACGCGCATGCCTCCACGACATGCTTGCCACAGCAAATGTACGGCATCGGCCCGTGGAACTCAGCACTCGGGCGGGCGACGCGTCACTCTCGGCCGCGGGGGCCCAGGATATCGCGAACATCCAGTGAGCCCAGGACCTGATGACTGCCTTGAGAGCCAAGGGACCTCGGCCTTCCAAGGAATCGCAGCTTCTCGGGGGCCAAAAGAACCTCGTCAAGCATGTCCACCGAGCGCTCGCCCAGGCCGACGTTCACGTGCAAGTTGCCAGCAGGGTCAGATATTTCGGTCTCGATTTTTCTTCGCGCAGAGGGCCGACGCCTCGCGCGAGTCAACGAGCAAGCCAGCAAGCTCAGCCTCGCCGGGGTGAAGTTACAAGCATGGCACGGTGGCCCAATGGGCCTCGCCAGCGGCTTCAGAACAACTGAGGAGCACCGTGGCCGCCATCTCGGGGAAAGAACGAGCTGGGGGATGCGCTGCCGCAGCTCTTCGTCTCGGCCCTGGCTGCAAGGTCGATCCGTCTTGTTTTGCTCGCCTAGGAATGATCGGCGCTTGGCTTGACATCCTATCTTGCCCAGGCTGATGAATGAGAGAGATGCGCTCGCTGCCGCCTGGAAGAAACGCGTCTGTGCCGCGCGTGAGGCCAAGAACCCTTTCGGGATAGCCAAAGGGCCCATCGGCCCCCTCGCTGTTATCCCGGCCGTGGAAAGCACAGGGCGGCGAAGAGTTCTACTTTCTTCCTCGAGAGGCCCCACCTGAACGAGCCCATTTCTACGTGGGAGCTGTCTCGGGGCCCGATCCCGGGCGGCAGAAATGCGCGCTGGCGGAGATCGGCGGGCCCCTGTAGCAGCAAATCTGGAAAGACGAAGCGCCCCAGCATTTCTTTCGGACAAGCATAGATGTTGGCACGGGCCTGACCGTTCTCCAGCGGAAGCTCGGGAAGCTCAGCCGCAAGCACACGCACGGCCACGCGGCAATGATAGAACGCATTGCCACATGAGCGCTGTGGCCAGGAGCGGGGAGGTATGAACATGAACCCGCCAGGCAAGGATGTCCCAGGTGCCGCGCTGCTCGCGCCCACCCGCTGCCAGCAGAAGACCTGCTCAACCAGCAGTGGACGTGCGCTTGCGCGCAGCCGTCCGAGCGGGCGGCCTTCGACCACCTTCCCCAGCTCCACGGAGCACGAAGACTGGCCACGCTTCTGGCACCGAGGACTGGCCCCCGCCATGTGGATCTACCCCCGCGCCGACCAATGACCAGAGTGGGAGTTTCGGGCAGAAGGAGTCACTCAAGAGAATGCATGTGTTGAGGTACCCCCTGGGACCTATGTAGGAGCTGATGGCAGCGGAGGTGTTTTCTTGAGTGATTTGAGGCTCCGCAGGTGTGGATGGGGCTTTGCAGCGCGGCACAACGGAGGCATGCAGGGGGGCTGCCTGGGGGGCGATCTTGGGGCGGCACCGGGCGGTGCCTGCTGGCCGAGCTCAAGGGCCTCATTCAGGCCTTGAAGCACACCTTGGGGCCCGCCACGTTCGTCGTGCACTATGCTCATGTATTGGAAGCAATCCAAAGTGGCCCAGGAAATGCCCACCCCCTCGACGTTCCTGCCCGGGCCCGTTTTTGGCACGAGTTTGAACAAAGGCCTGGGCAGGCCACGTTTTAAACATTAAGAGCCACCTAGCGGAGGCCGACATTGGCCACCAAGTTGGGGAAGGGCAGTTTGGAGTCAAAGAAGCAGCAGACGAAGCAGCAACACGTGGAGCGTCCTCACCTAGCCTACCCCAGGACGTCCTGGCCGAGGTTTCGCGGGTCCACGATTTGGCCTCTCGTGTTTTGGACCACCTTGTTGTGGTCGGCCTAGAGGTCGGCCACGGCTAGAGAAGAGGACGCAAACGCTCCAGGGGCTCGAACCCCTGCAGATTTGGTTGTTGCCATGCGAAACCGGCAAGATGAAAGGGTCGTTGTAAGAAGTGGCGCCCGCGAAGCTACCTTCCACTCGGTATTAATACGCGGGAATGGAAGCTCTTCCTGCAAGAAGTGCCGAACGGCACCAAGTCGAACCCTGCCAAAGAATGAGTGGTTGAGCTCTCCCTGCTTGGGCAGTGAATACTGTGTGGCGGGCTTTGGCGGTGTAAACTGTGTGTGGCGGTGTAAACTGTGGCGGCTCGGGGCACCAGCGTTTAATATGTTGGAAAAGTTTGCCAGCGTCGAAGTGACGCTTGCAAAAGGGCGATAACCAAATTTTCCAAAGGGTTCCTGCCTACCAACAGGAAGGCCTGGCCAGATGAACCGAGGGCAAGGCACCCCAGGACCAGGCGAGTCCTAAATTCTGTTCCATGCTCCTGGTCGCCATGGACAAGACTTCTGGCGTAGCGCAAGCTGTTCTCATGAGGAGGAGGAGGAGGAGGAGGAGGAGGAGAAGGAGAGGAGGAAGGAGGAGGAGGAGGAAGGAGGAGGAGGAGGAGGAGGACGAGGACAGGACGAGGGGCGGGAGGTGGGCAGGAGGAGGAGGAGGATCAGGAGAGGAAAAATAGGAGGAGGAGGGGGAGGAGGAGGAGGAGGACAGGACGAGGGGGGGCGGTGGGCAGGAGGAGGAGGAGGATCAGGAGAGGAGAAGGAGGAGAAGGAGGAGGAGGAGGACGACGACGACGAGAACGAGGATGAGGGCGATGACGAGGACGAAGAGTAGAGGAGGAGCAGGAGGAGGAGGAGGAGGAGGACGAGGATGAGGAAGAAGAAGAGGAGGACGAGGAACAGGAAAAGCAGGAGCAGGAGGAGGAGGTGGACAGGAGGAGGGGGAGGGACGCCTGGCAGCGCGCAGAAGGGGCAACGCGAGGAGCGCAGAGCCGGGGGGCCACCGCGCGCGATTCGTGCGCGAGGTGTGGGTGCACCTCGGGGACTCCGGATTCCGCCTGGGCAGCGACAAGCAGCTCGCCCCGCGCGCGCGGGGGTGGGGGGCCAAAGCTCGAATTAGGACGGAGGAGAAGGAGCAGGAGCAGGAGGAGGGGCAGGAGGAGGAGGAGAAGGAGGAGGGGGACGGGGAGGAGGAGAAGAAGGACGAGGAGGAAGAGGAGGAGGAGGAGGAGGAGGAAGAGGAGAGGGAAGGAGAGGAGCAGGAGGAGGAGGAAGAGGAGGAGGTGGAGGAAGAGGAGGAGGTGGGCAGGAGGAGGAGGAGGAGGAGGAGGAGGAGGAGGAGAAGGAGGGCTGGAGGAGGATGACAGGAGGAGGGCTGGAGGAGAAGGAGGAGGAGGATGAGGAGGAGGAGGAGGAAGAGGGAGCAGAGGAGGGCCACTGCCATAGCTTGAATTGGGACGGAACTGTGCGTGCCCTTTGCTCCGGGTGTGAGCACAGCGCGCCCCAGGTGGGTGCGCACGAACAGATCAAACCAAACCAGGCGGAGGGGATGACCTTAGACATAGAGAGGGGGAAGAGGAGGAGGAGGAGGAGGAGGAGGAGGAGGTCGTCCTCTTCCGCTTCCTCGACAACGCACCGCTGCATCGGCAATTCGGGGTCCATGCATCCCCCCTGTGCCCATCCCCAAATGTCGTTGCCCCTCGGAGGAGGAGGGGGGGAGGGGAATGCAGCGCGCCTCCCTCCCTTGCTTTCCGTCGCTGCTATCTCTCTCCCTCCCTCCCTTCTCCTTTTGTTTTCTCATCTCCTCTCCCGTCTGCTCTTTCCTCTTCCTCTTCCTCTTCCTCGCCCGCTGCGCCCCCCCCGCTCTGTGGACTATCGAGATGGATACGGAGGGAGTGGTGACGAAGACCGGCATCAGTTTCTGTCAACTTCGAGCAAGGCTCATTGTCGGTGTTGCCGCGGAGGTTCGTCCACCTGGGACAAAGAATCGCCTGCCCAACAAGGGCCGCTGTTGCTATTGGACTGAACATGCCGTTCGGCATCGTTCCCGTTTTGTCCGCACCCATCTCGGGGTCTCCCGTCATCTTTTGTTCATCCTCCTTGTCCGCTTCCTCCCCTCCTCCTCCTCCTCCGCCTCCTCCTCCTCCTGCTTCTCCTTCCGTCCCTCCCTCCCACCTTCCCTCCGTCCCTCCCTCCCACCTTCCCTCCCTCCCTCCCTCACTCCCGTCCCCCCACCACCTCCTCATCTCCCTCATGGATGAGGGTTAGCAGCATCATGAGCAGGCCCGCCCCCCCCCCCGCCCACGCAGTCAAGCAGCTCGCCCCCCTCCAGTCTGCTCTCTCCTGTCCCCTCTCCCTTGCCGGCTACGCCCCCGTCTGGAAGGCTCGTGGCTCAAGAGACGGGGGTCAAAGCAGAGGAGGGTCAGCCGGAGCGCCGAATCTTGCAGGATCCTGCAGAACCAGGGCTGCACTGACCCGGGTCAGCGCGCAGGATGCTGCAGGATCCTCGGGATAGTCGTCTTGCCCCACCCCCCTCCGAGATCAGGGCGTTGCAGTTTTTGTTCCGCAGCGGGAAAGTTCGCCCGGCTTCGGGCCCCCAGGACTTTCACAGATCGATCCAGCTCGAAAAGTCCCCAAGCAGTGCCTGCTTTTAGTCCAGGCCTCCTAGATGGTGTCACAGTAGATGGGCTCGGAGGATCGCGCCGAATCGCCGATGCATCGCCCATGCGGCTCGATGTGGAGCCCGATGTGCTTCATGTCGAGGTCGCCGATGCATCGTCGACATCGACGACGCGTCGCCTGTGCATCCCCAGTGCATCGCCGCTGCATCGCCGATGCATCGGCGATGCGGCGCGATCCACGGACTCCATCTACTCCGACCCCATCCAGGAGGCCTCTACTTGGGGGGTCTTACCTGTCTTCTAATGTGCGTCGGTCCGGCCAGCTCGTCGTCGCCCGTCGGCGCCGCCCGTTGGGCTTGTGTGTCAGTGCGGCCGGCTTGCCGTCGCCCGTCCCCGCCGCCCGTTTGCATTGCATTGCATTGCTTTGGATGGTGTTGCATTGTTTTGTATTGCTTTCTATAGCCTCGCATTGTTTTGCATTGATGTTTTAAAGATTCGTTTGCATCGCACTGCATTGCGCTGCGCTGATTTGAAGTGCTCTACGTGGCTCAGAAGCGAGCGAGCTTCTTTCCCTATACTCCTTGCCTCGTGTTTTTTTTCCGCGCGATCTTGGTTAAAGAAAATGATTAATGTTCGCCCGATCCTCTTCATCAGCGTCCCCCTCTCCCAGCCGCGTCTTCATGTGAGTTCGTTCTAGTCCCAATCCTCGCATGCACCTCCCTTTTCTCTGCGGCTGCGGAGTGCACAGAGGCGGCCGAACTGGACCCAGAGCACAAGCAATTCGGAAAGCGAGACAGTCGATCAATAATGGAGCCCGAGCGTAGGGACGTTGCGTAGCCGTAGGGACACACATGCCCGCTGCTCAAATGCCCTGCTCGAAAATCGGTTCCTTGGCTTCACGCCCACTGCTTGTGCTGTTGCCCCCCCTCCCAACTGGACAGGACAACTGGAACTTGAAGGGGGAGGGGGCTGGTGGCTTCTTTCTCAGCGAGAAAGGTTCTCTACGGGATGTGTTTGGGGACAAGATTGGCACGCAGGGATTTCCGTGCCGACCCGCTCCGCGCATCATTCTTGCATCTGATCGTGGCCATCTTATCTATGAAGGATCGCAACGCAGGGGTAAGCGTCCGTTCTGTGCCCAGTCGCGTTGATTCGCATTGTTTTGCATCAATGCGTATTGCTTTACATTATTGTGCATTGATTTGCATTGCTTGACGGTGGCTTGCGTTGCGTTGCCCCTTGTTTTACATATTTTTGCATTGCATTGCATCGATTCGCATGGTTTTGCGCTTTGCTTTGTTTTGCTCTGCATTGCTTTGCATTGCTGTGCATCGCGTCGCATTGCATTTCGTTGCTTCGCATTTCTTTGCATTGCTTCGCATTGCTTGGCATTGCTTGGCAATGCTTGGCGCTGCTACCACATGAATGGCACCACGTGGATAGCACCAACTAGATTGCGTCACGGTGGCTGCACCACTCAGTCTGCCCCGCGCAAATAGAAGGAACTTACTGTGCGGGATCCACGCTGGCCAACATACGATGCAGAAAGATGAGGTTCGGGGCTCATGGTCGCGAATATTCACGGTGTTGTAAATATTTCGCAAATTATTTGTTGGGAGTCCGCTCTACTAAGCAGTGGCAGAACCCGCGCTACGGGTTGGCTCCGTTTGTGCAGTTTGTCTCCTTCCCCCTTCCCTGTTGTTCTTTCCGCCTCTCTTCTCCTCGTCCTCCTCCCCCTCCCCCCTGAATGTGGTGACGTCTACCCGGCCGGTCAACAACAACAAAAAAGCACGCTACGTCGCATCCCTGGGCTCCTCGCGTCCTCGCCCGTCCCCCCTTCGCTCCTCCTCGCTGGTGTCTTCGACCCCTCGTGCGCCCCGTCCCCAGTTTCCCCCTCCTTCAGTGCTCTCGTCGGCGTCCCCGTGCGCGGTGCCCCCGTCAGTGCTCTCGTCGGCGTCCTCCTCTTCCTCCTCCTTGTTCTCCTCCCCCCCCTTTTCCTCCTCCTCCTCCTCCTCCTCCTCCTCCTCCTCCTTGTTTCCCTTTTCCTCCTCCTCCTCCTCCTCCTCCTCCTCCTTTTCCTCCTCCTCCCAGGGGTCGAGGGTCCCCACCCCCAGCAGGGCCGCCCGCGCCGTGCGCGCGATAGGCCCCTGCGCTGCGGCCTGGCGCCGCCGCCTGCCCGCGCCCTGGGTCGCTCCTGGCGGGCGGCACGCCATTGCGCTGGAGGCACGTCTACTGGCAGCAGGCCGCGCTCGGGTTCCCCATCGTGGCACCGCCGATTGAGGAGGGCCCGCAGCTCTGCACGTCACCTTCTCAGAGTGGAAGTTGCCCATCAGTTGTTGGAGCAGCACCGCGGCTCCGCCCCGCCTATGGGCAAGGCGGGCAACGATGCCGTGCAAGTGGAGCCCAGGTGGGCTTGTCTGGCTAGCCGCCAATGAGGGTACAGTCGCAATTTTGCGAGCAACACTCGTTGCTTCCGTTGCGGGCGAGACCGAGCTGGGAAACCTGATCTTGCCAACCCGCCGCCCGACAGGCAGCCAGCTCGGTCTCCAGCAGGCAGGCGGTCCAGTCGACCGCCTCGCGCAGGCAGCGCCCGACCTGGGCGCGCCGCTGCCGACGAGCTTGCTGACGAGCCGCCCACGGCTTCAGATGCGGTTACCCGCTCCCGCAAGGCCTTGTCCGCCCTGCGGAGGCTCGGCCTCGACGACAACAACAGTGCGGTGGTCGCCGCCTTGAAAGAGCTGCAAAACGCCGAGGAAGCCGAGAGAGAGAGAGAGAGTCCCGCACACCAGAGGATCAACTCCGACGATCGGTGGACCGACAGCGACGGAAGTCTACCGAGGTCAGCGTGCTCACGGAGGCCCACGGGTTGCTGCAGCCGCAACTGGATTCCAAGCAGAAGGAGCTGGCCCAAGCGCAGGGTGAGCTCGCGATCATCGACGCGGAGGTCCGTGCCGCTCGCGCTGCCGTCCTGGCAACGGCGGCCGCAGCGACTGCAGGATATGACCAGGCTGTGGCAGTGGCCATGGAAAAGCTGGGGCAGATGGTCAATGCAGCTCCGTCGGTCACGGCGGGCAACGAGGCCACCTACGCCAGCTCGCTCAAGCGCCAGTGCAACGAGGCACTCTCCTTGGTGGCTAGGCAGCGGGGCCCCAGCACTGCCGCCGGCTCTGCACACGCAGCACCAGCTTTCAGGAGCATCTCAGTGGATACGCTCGTCAATGGGTTGGCGACGTCGTCGCCTGGGAAGACATGCTGGGCTATGACGACTGGCTGTGGTGGTGCCAACTTTATGCAGAATTCTGCATCACGGAGGACCCCCAACTACGCCGTCTCGCCCCCGCGCCCGAGCAGGTCCGTGAGCTTGCGAAGCGCCTGTGCCCCCACAGCCTCTTTGGTGTGCAGGGGGGGCACTCGGAAGACCCATCTGCGCTACCAGGATATCTACAATGTA